TGCCTTGACTCTTGGCTCTAATGAAAAATGTCCTACCTTAAGTTGAGCTGCGATTTTAAAATTGCTTGCAACTCTTTTCAATCCCTTCCATATCTCTTCAGCGCCTACTTCTTTGCTACCAGTCAAGCGCGGGCAATTCGTGGCGCTCACTGACACACCCTCGGCAATGCAATATTGCAAGGCTGCAAGCAGGTACGCGCCAAAGACTTAGGCAACAAATTGCAAGCTGAATGAATGGTCGTTCCCTTTTGGAGTTATACGGAGTCATTCGTGCGGGTCTAAGTAAGTTTTGTTTTTGTTGTGCCAGCAAATTTATTGAATTGTGCGTTCTATTGTTGTTGTTGTTTTTTTTAGTAGAATATTTTTGTGCAATTGCTTGCCAGCCACTATTATATAGCGAACGAAATTCCTACTGACTGGCCCGTAATTGTTTATGCTCGTTGCAGATATCTTAAATTTCCTTTTTAAGTTATTCAATTGCCACTGCAGCTACAACAATCGCTACTCGATTTGGTTAACCACTTTGCGGTCACAATCGCTTCTCTCCTTCTTGGCTGCGATTCTAAGTATTGTACCTAAGCGCAAGCCATTTTTGGTCTTATTGAATTTATTTTTATAAATTTCTTGTCATTTTTTTCCTGCTTGGTTTTCACGCTTTCTGTTTTGCTGACATGGGTATAAAGGCGTTAAACGCATATAAATAAGTAACAAGTGTGAGGAAATGTGTTAAATATGAGATTGCCTGTAAAACAGGTGGCTGTGAAAGAGATCAGGCAGCATGAAGTGTGAAGACTTATGAGTTGCCGGAAAGCAGAAAAAATCAAAAAATATAAAAAAGTTTTTGCGGCATTCATTGCTTACGTCCATTCGGATTGTATTGAGTTGAGGTAAAAAAATATGCGCTAGCCGGGGATCAGTCAAATGCCAGTCTTTCCATCGCACGTAACTAGCTGCTCTTGTACCGTTTTTCTAAATGTCGCCTTAAACTCCCAATGGACATATCTACAAACAATACTAACGATGCTGAGTTGGAAAAACACTTACTAAATTAATTATTCGTACTCATATTCGTTTTCATACTCATCTTCGTATTCGTACTCATCTTCGTATTCGTACTCATGTCGTATTCGTACTCATTTTCGTATTCGTACTCATCTTCGTATTCATACTAATCTTCGTATTCGT